TGTCATCGGACGCTATAGCCGAGCAAGAATCTGAACCAGCATCTAATACCTCCTCTTCCAAAGGAAGTCCTTTTTGCATCTTTTGGTAATTCTTTCGCTTATTGATTCCTGACCGCAACCGAGTCATACGCCGGGATACATCGGCAAACTGATCTGGGTTTAAGTGTTGCGTCGATTTCCTTCTGCCGGTCATATTGACGGACACTTCTGGAAATTCATCATCTTGGCGAATGGGTTTCCTCCTTTGGAAATGTCTTGGTTTGGCCTCGGACGCCCTGGTAGAGATTCTCTCAAACACCGAGACTCTTTTTAGGGTTTTGAACAGCAGCATTCCGATAATACTGCTTTGATTATGTTGGCACACGGACAATGAGGCTCCGTGTCTCGAACATTTCTTTTCCGGGATTTATTCGCACCCCCAGCCCTATAGTACAGCTCATCAGTTTGATAACTGGAGCAACCCATAAAGTGTTGGCACGCCTTCCCAGGTGTAACATCGTCATCAGACAAATATGTTTCCCTCTGGGGACGCGACGTTTTATTTGCGTCTCCAAGAGTCACTCGTTCACTCTTACGCCTTTGAGAGCGTGAAAGTCCAACGGGCTCTTGAATTTCGACTCGCAATCCAATGCGGTCGGTAATAGGGGCTTTCCCTTTGTTAGTACGACCCCCAGTCTTGACTGTTGTTTGGGGACTTTTCAACGGTATGCGGTTGGTAATAGGGGCTTTCCCTTTGTTAGTACGACCCCCAGTCTTGACTGTTGTTTGGGGACTTTTCAACGGTCCCAATCGCTCCTTGACGGGTGCTTTACCTCGATCTTCAGGATTGAGGCGACCATTCAAAGGACCCCTGGATTTAGTGAGATCCACGTTCTTTCCTGACTCCGTCGGAGGCGCGGGTACAGGGAAAACGGGATCTGGATTTGAAATAGGCTGGATGATAACTCCGCCCACTTTTGTCTTAAGTGCTGGTTTTGTCTTTGGCACCCAAACTTACTTGCGCTTAGGCGGCTTCTCCACTGCTTCTCCCCTCTGCATTTCTTTCGCTTTCTGCAAAAGGGCTCGGGCATGTGCGAGCAATGCTCAACGCTCCTTGATTCGCTCCTCGAGGGTGGAGCGGGTCCTCTTGACACGAACCCATTCGTTCGTTTTTGTCTTGGAGGAGGAGTTGGTTGTTCGCCGTTGTTGTTCCCGGCGCTGCCTGGATTTTAGATCCACATTATAGCGGATCCCGTCCATCGGCTCCAAAGCCTTGGCCAGCTGACGAGCAAGGCGTTGACGCCGTCTTTGGCGTGCTCTCTTTGACAATGCTGGAGCGTCTTCAGTAGCCATCTTCTCGGCGGAGGAGAAGTCCGGATCTGCGGTCTCGACCACGTTGGACGACGCAGGGACGTCACGTGGTGCAAGTGCAGCGGCGGGGCAATGGGATTTGGATCTTGCGAGGCCGAAGGTCCCGCGAATATTTTCTGGAAGAGGATGCCTTCCTGCGGCCTGGGTTCGGGAGGCGGATCTGGAGGAGGAGGAAGAAGGTACTCTTCAAACTTCTGGGCTGATCGAATCAATACTCGGATCTCTTCATTGCACCGGATCTTAATTTGCCGTTGCGTCACAGGACAGCGCTCCGGCATAGCGAGGCTGTTGGACTGCGCACTGTGGTCGGCAATGTTTGTTTTCGTCGACCCAGTTACAATATATAATTGATTTCATTAAACTTCAATCGTTAACAAATGAATCATATAAAGAAATAAAATTATAACTTTGCTTGAAATAAACGCAAGATCCCGTATTATCGCTCTGCTGTGCGTGGGTCTTTGCCTGTGAACGGGGACGTCGATAGTTCCGTCGACCTACCTGGCATCTCAGTATCTGGTTCGCTGAAAAATCGGATCAGAGCTTGCGCCGATTCGCGAGGAGATCTAGAAGCTTGAAGTCGTCTATCTCGGCTATAATACGAGAATATCTGCTTCTTCTTAGGATCTACCCGGAGGGTAATACAAGGAACGGGCACGGGTGATGAAGAATCTGATGAAGAACTCTCTCTGTTGAAGCGCATCGAACGCATCTTGCACTGCAGCAGGGCTTCGCCAACGTTCTCCCAAAAAAATTCAGATCTCCAAAAATGAAGGCGCGTTAGGTGGCTTATTTATAGCATGGAGCACCTAGGGTGCCTAGACGACCCCTGGTGTGTGTCTAGTGAAATAAGCCTAGACACGCCCTTGGGGTGTCTCGGCTTGGCCGAGACACCCCTGGGGTGTCTAGGCTTTTCCTAGACACCCCTGGGGTGTTTCGACTTTCCCGAGACACCCCGGGTGTCCCAACTCAGCCTGAGACGCTCCGTTGCGTATGTTTGATTGTTTTCGCCGTAAATTCTTCGTCCGAACTCGGATTTGAGTGATTCCAAGTGCGTTGGAAGCTTGACGAAGAGTTCTATCTGCTCCAATGGTTGGATTATCTGTAGAATGAACGAGACTCGAAGGGCGTTGTCCTTTTTGTGAACATCGCCGGGTTCCCGATTGGCCCGGGTCTTCGTTGTTCCGAAATCCTATCAGCTCACGTAGTTCGTCGATTCACTTCAATCGTTCATCGACGTCAATTGAACTCCTGTGGATCAGATAGTGACGTTCATCGTCGCTCTTTAACACTGAACCGTTCGTGGAGACCTATAGGCAATTTTCGATGCCTACACAAGGGACCATCACGTTCTTGGGACAAGCGGGGACTACACGACATGATGATTGCTTATATTATATTACATAACATGACTGTGAAGGATGAACGCGATGCGAAACCAGATATTATTGTTTATGACGAATCTTCAAGACCTGAAGAGATGGAGATTGATGATGCCAAACTATTCCAACGATTCCTTGATCGACATAGGAAGATTCAAAATAGGGAAGTTCATTTTATGTTTCAGAACACGCTAATTGAACATTTATGACAGAGGCTCGATAACGAAGGAATGTAATTTAAATATTGTAATTTATGCTTGTATTTTCTTATGGGGCAAGTTAAATAGGTCCCCGTATTTAAAATTTCATGTCTAATACTTATTTATTTAATTTTAAAAATAATAATTTTATAATAATACTAAAAGATTAATTTTGAAGAGCTCGATGAGACCTTTCTAAATATATAATTATTTCAAAAATTAGATTAATAAATTTTTAACTATATTTATTTGAAATTAAACATCTAATTTAAATTACTAAGAATGATGGCAATCTGGAAATCTCTAAATTTGGAGAGTGATTGGAGAAGATATACTCTCCAAATTTGGAGGGATGGAGATTTTGCCGAGTGATTGGAGATGCTCTTAGCTGCTGATTCTGAAAGAGAAATGCTTTATTTTTAGAGGTTGTTGCCATAAGGCCCGGTATTTTACCCTGTTTTATTTTTAAGCTCAACTATTTTAGTTTATACCTTGAACCCAATCATCTTTATATATCTATCTCTAAGCCAAATTTTCCAATACAATAAGTTAGTGGACCCCCCTAATTTTTTTTAAAATCCCAATTTATCCCATTTTCTCTCTCTCTCTTTTTTTCATTTAATCCCCCCCATTAATTACTCTCCACTCCATTAATGCATAAGGCTGAATTGCTGAATTTCGATGGAGATTCATCACTTTCTGGTATTTTAAGATATAATTTTTGTTATTTATTCAACTTCTAAATTTGTGGCATTAATTTCTCATTTTCTTCATCAAAATTATTTTATATTATTATTCATGAATTCTCATGCTTGGTTATTACAATTAACACAAAAAAATAATACTAAAAAAATAAAAATGTCAATTTTAATTTTAGAATTAGATTTAATTTCAGAATTATGATTTAATTTCAGAAATTTCAGAATTACGATTTCAATTTCATTATGTTGATTTTAATTTGTTGTGAGATTAAATTTTATAGTTAGTTAAATTTGGTCTAAGTTGAATATCTTTAATAAAATTTGCACATTTTATTTATTTTTTGTGACAAATAGAGATGAATGAAAATTTGTACTGTACCTTAAATGAAACCTGCTATACTTTAACCAAAATGTGCTTTACTTATAGAAATATCTACTATATTTTTCTCAAAACCTGCCATACTTTCACCAAAACATGTTAGACTTATGGAAAAATCTGCTATATTTTCCCCAATGCCTGCTATATGTACGGAAAAATCTGCTATACTTATGGAAAAACGTGTTGTACTTTCATCAAAACATGTTGTACTTATAGAAAAACCTGCTATACTTACAGAAAAATCTGATGTACTTTCACACATAATACAAAATTGTGTGAACAATAAGGAGGGATGGAGGGAGGGATGGAGGGAGAGAACTTGGAACAAAGAGGTTTTAGACATGTTTATCAATGTGTCACAAAGAGGTTTTACACATGTTTATCAATGTGCCAGACATGAAGCTCCATATAATTGATGTTTTAGACAAAGAGGTTCAAGGGTTAAAATAGAATCGTGCAAAGAGAGAGAACTTGGGAAGAATGGTTTGTTGATGCACACATAATACAGAATTGTGTTGTCCATTGTCCATCTATGATGAAAGTTACATATGTCGAGCCATATAGTCTTTGTTTCCAAAAAAACTGATATACCTCCTCTTATTTTTAATTAATTTCCACTCAGAGCTGAAAATATCATCAATATGCTAGTGTAAATTAGTCACGCAATGCTTGCAGTTTAGCATTGTATTTGCAGTTTACCGTTGTATTTCTGCCATCGAGAGTTGAAGTTCTAGATATGATGTTTCTGTTAAAGTCTTTCAGTAGGAAGTACCTTTAAATTCTCAAGTAATGGAACCTCAACATGTGTCATGTTAGTTAACACTGATGTGTCATGGTTGAGTAGTAATTATTTTAATTTGTTAACAATGATACATTGATACTGGTCATTGTTCTCCTATGTTAATCCCAGTCCATCCCCTGCATTTTTTTCCTCCTCTTTTGAGTAAACACAAATATGAACTTTCTTCAAGGACATATTTTCATGCAGCTTATTCTAGCATCATGGAGTTATTTTATGGTTGTTTTTCGTGATCCTGGTACTGTTCCTCTTAACTGGAGGCCTACTTTCGATGAGGAGAGTTTGGAAACTGGCAGTTCAATGATGTCTGATTATGTTACCCCTGAATCCAGGGCCTCTACATGGACCTCAGAAGGGATGGAAAGAAGACCAGGTGTTGGTTATTGCAATCGTTGTCAAAACAGCAAACCTCCACGCTGCCATCATTGTTCCATTTGTACGTCATTCTATTACTTGTCTTTTTGTTTAAAGCCATCATTTCTTTCTATTCTAGATTTAGTTTGGAAGTTACATGACTAGACAGTTTTCTGTGAACAATAAGCCATTACTAGATATTGGAACCCATCAAAGCTATGAACCAATTGAATGCTTGTTTGTGCTTCATTCTTTATGCTTTTCATGTAGGTCAAAGATGTGTGCTTAAGATGGATCATCATTGCGTGTGGGTTGTCAATTGTGTTGGAGCAGGGAACTACAAGTTTTTCCTCCTTTTCCTGGTATGTCTTCAGATTTGCTGGTTTGAAAAGATAAATGCATTTTCTCCGTGTTTACTTTTATATATTAGTTTGATTATATCACACAGAGAATATGTTTAGAAGAGGCATATATTTTTCCTAGAGGTCCTCTCAGAATCCAAAACTAACTGAAACAACCTAGAATAGAAGTAATGGGGGCTGAAGGCATTTTGGTGGTTTTAGTTCTGGCAAATGCATTCATGAAATACGGAACACATTCATATTAATAGTATTTTCATGTAAGACGTACTATTTACATTGTACTGTTAAAAGATACTTCCCTTGCATTGTTAGAAATCTCTCTAACCAATCTATTTTTAAACTTGATTGTTCAGCTGTACACTTTTCTAGAGACAATTTTGGATACTCTTGCCTTGCTTCCACATTTTATCAAATTCTTTGGAGATGCAACAAGTCACTCTGGTTCTTCTGGCAATCTTGCTGTTACATTCGTAGCATTTAGTAAGTTCCTCCCTTAACAAGACTACTCTATTATTATGCTGCTGCTGCTGCTGTTGCTACTGCTAAGATTCTAAAGCACCTGTTCTTTTGAAGCAGTCCTCAATTTGGCTTTTGCACTAAGTTTGCTGTGTTTCCTGATTATGCACACATCTCTTCTATTCAGCAATACAACTACGATAGAGGTGAGATATTTCTTATAGGTTCTTGTCACTCACATTATTCAACTTTTCTGAGAATATCATGTTTGCTAGTTTTTCTTCTCTTATTCCCCCTTTTTTATTAAACACATCCTAGTGGCTATCTTGTACATTATGTTGGAGCATATCTCTTAACACTGTCATCCTAATTTCAGGTGCATGAGAAGAAGAAGGGTGTGATATGGAAATATGACCTAGGAAAATGGAAGAATTTTGAACAGGTTAAATCACATCACTCACATGCTTCCAGAAATTTTAATACCTGGAAAGTATAATTTGCACTTTGTACTGACCGGTGTTCCTTTATACATTGGTCACAGGTTTTTGGAACAAAAAGGTTGCTGTGGTTTCTACCAATGATTTCAAAAGAGGATTTGGAAAACATTCCGGCACTTAAAGGCCTTGATTTTCCAGTCAGATCCGATGCAGAGTCATAAGGATCGTAAGCTCTGTCCATTCATTATATGTGCCATATCATCATTGCAGTCATATTCATTAATAAAACTAGCAGTAGATATGATTTCTTTTGATGGTTAGAAGTTGTTTCCTTATTATCATCTGCGCATATAGTTGTTGTTGTGATATCCATTAGTGTATCGGCATCAGATGTAAATTGTTTTGATTGTTAAAGTTGTTTATATCGATATCCGACAAAATTAGACAACTTCATTGTATTTAGATGTACACATTGTAGAAAAACTGAAGGTTCCTCTTCTTGCCGTTTGTGATACAGAACTGATCCATCATTAAAAATTTGTAACCATCAGAATTGCTTATCAATTATCATGAACTGAACTCTTTCATCATTGGCAAATCATCTTTCTCTTTTGTTTTAGATATATGATGATAGGTCAGATAATTTCTATCTCACATTTTTACTTTCGGTAACAAGACACTGTGTTGACGTCAATGCAGGTAATCCTTAAAATAGATTTGCAGCATGTGAAACCCAAACTTAATAGTTACTGAATTTTGCATGTTAGTATTTATCTTACATATTTACTTTTCAATAACAAGACACTGTGTTGATGTCAATGCAGATAATCCTTAAAAATAGATTTGCAGCATGTTAAATTCTGAACTTACTAGTTACTGAAAATTGCAGTTACATAGTGATCCTGTCACCCACTTTTGTTTCCAAAAGTAGGGACTATGTTGTTAGTCAGTCTCATTTAGTATCCGAACTAGAAAACATAGCAAATACAAACTCACAAGAACAACATCCAGTGAAACGAAAGAATCAAAGAGAACACAAGAACAGAACAATTCAAAAAGTGCAGACATCAAACATTGGCACCAGAAACACTGACGCTCAAGTCTATGCTGTTCTTCGCCCATTCAGTCTCAGGAATCACTTCCTTCATGCATTCTCCTGTCGGGAACAACACTACCGCAATCTTCCTTGCTTCTTCTTCAGTCATCTTCTGCTTCCTCGGGGCCTTCTTGCAATTCAATTTTAACAGAGGGCTTCTCGTGATCCCATCAATTGAAATCCTGTAAGTTATCACAATTTAAAAAAAAAATCATTCAAAAACACTTGATATCGATAAGTGGAGAATTGAAGAAATGAGAAGTACCCGGAGAGTGCCATCCTCTTATTTGGTGCAGGAGTGGAGAAATCAAAATGTGATTGGCGAGCGAAGAGAACCTATTTCAGTTTCATTTCATTTCATTTCATTTCATGTTTATATCAGACTAATATTGATTCTATACAAATGAATCAGAGTAGGGGTTAAACTTACGGCATTGTGGAAGGATCTGGAGACGAGAAGCGCCTGTTTCAGGTCGCCATGGTTGAGTTTGCAGAGGATTTGGACCTTTGATATCAGAATATGCATAATTAAGTTCAAACTTTAGAGGTGAAAAATTTTTTAGAGAGGAATCAGATGATAGAAGAAGAGGGGGTCTTACCAGCGTGTCCAAAGGGAGGGATGCAATGGAGCCGCTCATGGGAGGAAATGGAGACAGGATGAATTCATTCCGTTGCTTTGCTGCTTCCTTAGAGAGTGGTGTTCTTTAGAAAACTACCTATAACCGTCTCTTGCCTTTTGAAAACTAATAATGATATCAAGCGAATTGAATCGTGGGGTATTACTCTCAACAATAGATGGTTCTGATTCAATCTTGCATAACCGAAGATATACGATGATTAATATTGTGTCGTTGAATCGTTACACTCAGAATTTGCACAGATGAAACGATCCATATCTAAGATGATATCCTTAACAGTGTTTTGGCAACTTTACGCTAATCCGGTTAAGGTCTTAACCATGTTAGGGTCTAAAGATAACCTAGATAAGAGCTTTTTTTTTTTTTTTTTTGAACTAAAAAGAACTAGTCTAAGCTTGTACAAGTTTTTGCCAAACATAGTCCAGACCCATATCCAAGTCAGGGGATGAGTTGCCAAACAAGCCCACTGTTTGGATCTTTTTCGGTAAATCGTGTTTTAGCTACAATAATATAGAAACCAATGGTCCAGTTAGACCTCCCAACTACAGCAATATTCCCCCAAAACAGAGCCTTTTGCTGGGAATTAGCTAGCGCTTCCAACTTAGATTTTTGGCTGTCGCATTAGTCCCCTATTTGCCAAAACAAACAAAGTAAAAGCTATAATATTGCTGTAGCCTGAAAGCTACAAGGGCTTTGAAGCCAAAAAAAAAAAAAAAACCTCAACCCTTTTGAAACGAAAATCACAGTTGCTGCAGCTCTTCATCAATTTTGATTTCAAATGCAACCGGACATTACACTAGTAAAAATTTACGTATCCTAGACGAAATATTCTAGACGGAATTTTTTCCGTCTAGAATGTATTAAACTAGACGGAAAATTTCCGTCTCTATAATATTGCTGTAGCCTGAAAGCTACAAGGGCTTTGAAGCCAAAAAAAAAAAAAAAACCTCAACCGAACAAACACCAGTCGCGAGGCCTATTGAAAATTTCCCACGAGACTGTAGAAACACTAGTAAAAATTTACGTATCCTAGACGGAATATTCTAGACGGAATTTTTTCCGTCTAGAATGTATTAAACTAGACGGAAAATTTCCGTCTAGAATATTCCGTCTAGAATAAAACATTCTAGACGGAAATTTCCGTCTAGAATAGTATTCTAGACGGAAATCTTACTTTTAATTTTTTTTTTCAAAAAATCCTGATATTCTAGACGGAAATTTCCGTCTAGAATGTATTCTAGACGGAAATGTCCGTCTAGAATACATGGCCATTTTAAAAAAAAAAAATTTAACCCGTCAAAACCCCCGCTGCCCTCCGTTCCCCCCAAAATCGAAATTTTCATCCCAAAAATCAAATCCCCCCACCCCCAACCCCAAATCATCAACTCCAAACTCCATCTCCATCAAATCCCTCCTCCCCCAAAACTGAGCCTTCTCCTCCCCCGAACGAACCCTAGAACCACGTCCATCCGCATCAACCGAACCCCGTCTCAAATCTGCACTTCAACAAGATTTGCGGCTTCGTCATGCAGCACGATGCCCTCTTCCCCCTCCTCACCGTCAGAGAAACCCTCCGCCCTTTAGCTCGAAAAAATTCCTTCATTTTCAATCTGAAGCTGTCGTCTCCATGGATTACCTCAAAGCCCTTGAAGAAGAGAGGAAAAAGATTTTAGTTTTTGAGAGGGAGCTTCCTCTTAGCCTGCAACTTGTCACCCAAGGTATAACTTTTCCTTCAAAAATTGTGAAAATGGCAGAAAATTTGAGCTGGGTCTGAATTTTTTTTGTTTGTTTTCTGTGATGGGTTTGCAGCGATTGAGAGCTGCAAGAAGAAGAAACATGAGGTGGTGGGGAGAGGCGAGGAGATTGCTAGTGAAGGGCCGATCTTGGAGGAGTTTATTCCCTTGAGGCCGAGTTGTTCGTCGTCGGATGAAGAGAACAACCATAAAAATAGCGGGAATAGTGGTGGGTCTGATAAGAAGCCGGACTGCATGAGATCTGTCCAGCTCTGGAACCAGCAACCTGAGCCTAAAGGAGTAAGCTTTTGGATCTTTTAGAAGATCTTGAAATTTTTTGCTGGTGGAATTCTTGTTATTTATGTTGAATTTTGGTGAATTGTTTGATTCAGGATGTAGTCATGAAGCCGATTGCTGTAAATGCGAAGAGGATAGGAGGAGCATTTCATCCTTTTGAGAAGGAGAAGGTTGTCGTTAAGACTCCGGTGGTGGCTGTAGGTCCCGTGAGCTCGACTACTGAGAATTCCAGTGGAGGAAATGTGAAGACACAATGGGAATGCAGGTTTTAATCAAAACTAAGAGATTTCCGATAATATTTACATGTGCTTAATTTAAAATAAATATGATGCCCCCTCAATATGCTTTCAATACATTTCAATAAATGCATAGTAATTGATCCTAGATAGTTTCCCTAATGAATTATGAAATGAAAACAAAATATATAATGGCCTACCTCTTGCCTTTCAATAAGTTACAAAAAGTGAATTATGAAGAGAACAACCAATTTCTTACAAAGGATTAACTCTCAACTCTTTGCACGATGATGATTCATGCTCAGTCCATGAACCTAATCAAAGAAACTAGCCTTATCGTGTGTGCATTGTGCGTATGAGCGACACGTACGCTCAGAGAGTATACTAGTAGAAAATCAGGTGGGATTATTGCTCTTCTGGATGAGGCTTGGTACAAATCAAATTTTAATTCCGTCTAGAATAATCCATATTCTACAAAACTCACAGAACTTGAACACTAAGTTTTTTACTCTTCAGGTTAGTGCATGAGGTCCTTATTATCTTCTGAATTGGAGAATCTTTTGTCTCCATCAAGTAGCTAATTGATAGTTATGTTATTACTTTGATGTGCTATTTCTAGTTAAGCGTGTTACAAACTTCGTGATTTTGTTTTCTGGAGTTTGAATTGAAGTGTTCTATGACATTTCTGGATGATATCTGATGACAGATAAGAGCTCCTGCTGCAGAACTGGGTCATTTCTACAGAATATCAAATTCTGTCACTGTGATGCAATTTTCTAGTTTTTTCATGTCCAGCAATTGGCTTTTCTAGTTTTCTCAAGGATTGCTTTGCCTGTTGAACAACGAGATGGGATGAAGAACTATATATCTAGCTGATATTATTCTACAGGTATATATTTTATCCTGTCATATTGAAATTTATTTATCACCTGCAATTTTTATGAGTATATGTTGCAACTTAATAAGGTGATTATTATTGTTGTTATGTTACATTAACGAACTCGGTTTCTTGTTTTAATGCTTTGTTTCAATCTTGACTACTGCAAATGTAACCATAATTTTTAAAGTTTGGATAACAAATGCAAATGCAACCATAATCTTTGTTTTCCTCTTATGGAAATGCTAACAGTGATAAACAATCTTTATCTGATCAATGCATTCATCTCAATTTTCATAGTGCACACATCAAATCTGTGTACTTAATTAATGTAGAAGTTATGTGTTTCACTTTTGGTAAACTACTTGTAAGCTTGTATACTTGTTTGTATTGTCTGGAAATGAATTATTCATGTATGTTAATTCTTGAGCTATCTTTTCTTAAAAGTTTTCGTACAAGTGAGTGTTATAAATGTTTTTTTTGTATTCTCTAGTATATGCTTAGTTAACATCATGTTGTTAAGAGGTTTTTTGTATTCTCTAGTATATGCTCTAGTATATGCTTAGTTAACATCATTGTCGTGGCTTCTCACTTGCCTTCCCACTTTTTAATTCATGTTGCTGGAAAAAGATACATTTTGTGGAGTCACAAATGGCAGAAGCTCTCAATGTTGGTGTACCATGGATTATGTGTCAACAAGATGATGCTCTTCAACCAATGGTATTTAAAGATGCTGGAAAAATATACATTTTCTTTTACATTTTTATTTTTTATGTTTTTTCTGTATTTATATTATACTTTTGATGATTATACGTATTCACAGATTTAAAAGTTGGGATTCACTAGATCCTCACAGGCCCGCAGAGGATGTAGCTTTTGCTGTTGCTCGATTTTTCCAAAGAGGAGGAATTGTGCGTAATGTTGTGCGATGGAGCATATAGAACCTCTTGTAAATAATTTATGTAAAAGTTTGTAAACAATTTATGTATCTCTCTACTATTTTGGTGAATGTATTATTTGAATATAATGGGATTTGATATTGAAATATAATTAGATTGTGTTGGATATGAATGTAATTTTTTTTGTTCAATATTGTGTACATGCACCCAAAGTAGGTTCTGCAAAAAAAAAAAAAAAAAAAAACCTACTGTAGCATAGTATCCTAGACGGAAATTCCGTCTAGGATGCTCAAATTCCGTCTAGAATGCATTTTTTCAAAAAAAAAATATAAAAAAAATAAAACCATCAATTTCCGTCTAGAATGGGTATTCTAGACGGAAATTTCCGTCTAGAATACTCATTCTAGACGGAATTTTTTTCCGTCTAGAATGAATTATTCTAGACGGAAATTCCGTCTAGAATAATCCGTCTAGGATGTATTCTAGACGGTTTTGAATTCCGTCTAGAATAATCCGTCTAGGTTGTATTATAGACGGAATTTCCGTCTAGAATACAACATCCTAGACGGAAACATACTAGACGGGTATTCTAGACGGAATTCCGTCTAGAATACGCATTCTAGACGGAATTCTGGGTATCCTAGACGGAATTTTCCGTCTAGGATACCCCATTATTTAGCAGTGAAAGTGCGCGTTGTCAAGCATATATATCCTGAGATATCCATGTTCAAGTGACTAGCTTATAGACTGCACATGAAATCATGTACATGGTAGATCTTAATAATTCTAGAATGCAACAAGCCAGCCAAAGTTGTTGACTAGTCTAACATCATGTTCAGCAAAGTAAATTATGATTAATGTGGGTGTTTACTTTAGCAAAGTAAATTATGATATATCCTAAAATTTTGTGGTGGGGATTTACTTTAGCATATCATGGGGAAAGCAAAGTAAATGTTGTTAGAGAACCAAATCATGATTAATGTGGGTGTTTTAAAGTAGGAAAAAGGAATTTTAGCCACCAAATTATGTTGGTTCAGAAACAGAAAAAGGAAGCAACCCTTTTTAAGGCAAGCAGTGATCCTGGTCATCACTTTGCTAATTGTTTAACAAAAGCTAACAACTCTCTGTGTGTCGATTAATTCTTAAACAATTAATTAAGTCAAATTTACTAAGATTCCTAGTTATCATCAGCCAAGAACTCCATCCTTCTGCGAACGATATCAACAACATGCTCGTATAATATGATGATCAATATATTTATTTATTGAGTTTGTATAGAACGCAATAGATGTGACAAAATCATGACAACCTAACTACAAATAAACTAGAAACAAACGTGATATATATTATATATATATATATGGTAGTAATGCTTCGCTCACAATACAAACTCACTCCAAATTTTCTCAAAAAAAAAAAACAAACTCACTCCAAACTAACATCGATCTATGCAAGAAGATAATTAATTACTATATATATCAAGGATGCATAGAGATAAAAGACCGGTCGGCCGTCTCTTCATTTATGAGCATAATTAGGAGGGCCTCCATGGCCGATACTAGGGCTATGGCCAGGGTTTACAGGGGGGTTATACTGCAAGAGGAGCTTGCGGCTACCGACGACGACGACGGGAGATTCGTCGACGATTTCCCCGTCGTCGTAATATCGCACGGTTGAAGATGAGTTCGCCGAAGCTGCGAATGCGTGCGGGGGCGTTCTGATCGCATGAACTCGAGGGAGGTGCTGTACCGCCATAAGAGCGACGACCAAGGTTGCCACCCCGAGAGAGACGTTTTTAGCGTGTAGAGCCATTAGATGTTGAGATGTTGATTGAAGGGAAGAACTGTGATAGGGAATATATAGAGAGAGCTAGCATTGCTTCCTTAAATATGGGCTGAGTGACCAAAAAAAATGAAGGTTCTTTAATTTGCCTATATACCCCCTCAACATCCATCTTATTTGTGGATTTACCTTCCATAGCAGTGTATTTGCTAATTTGCTCCTACACCCTTCCATTTTCGTACGTATGTTTCTAGCCCGCCCTCTCTCTCGTACCTTTAACACCGTCAAAATTCATAGGGGGTAAGGTAGAAAATATGCATATTTTGAGGGTAAATCTGTAAATAGGTCAGGGAGGGGGGCTCCTATTTCCTTATGGACAGAGGAAGGCTTTCGTGTCAGTTTATCTCTCTTGCCGATGTTACGTGAGATGGTTGTTTTAACTGAGTTAACGTCAGAGTAAGTCGACAAATATTCAGATTTTTTTGGGGGTCACTATGCAACAACAAAAACTTCGGGGTTATATAGGTAAAAGAAGCCCAATAAATGAAGCAAAGAAAAAAAGAATATTAATTATGCTGAGCAGAAAAGGTGAGGGTCAAGGGTTCTTTGTGCATGTGGTAGGGTTTTAATTATTAACATGAAGGAATTTTCCATAATCAGTCGATGGTTGAAGCATATCGTGAGCTGGGGTTTCTACAACTGAACTCGATCGACAAACTCTCAATGGCCACAAATAAAATACGTACGAAGTTAATAAAGGCTAACAAAAGCATAGTAATAATGACTTTATAAATTTGAATAGATAAAGTTAGCTAAAGCTAGCCCTTCACTAGATTGATGGTAGTTCAAAAATATTAGTTTATGTGAGCCAGTTGATTATAGTTATTCTGAGTGTCCGAGGACACAGAAAGCATACAGCAAAACTAAAACCACGTAACTAACCATACAAGCTTCCGGCCTAGCTAATACGAAAGCCGTGAAAATTTTATTTTATTTATTATATTTTTTTTACAGAGAAAATTAGCAGCTAGACAAGCTTTTGAGAACTATTTTATTTTATTTATTATATTCTCATTCTTCTGCTTTTATTCTCCTATCGATCTTTTTCTGTGCTAAAACAATGGGCGTAATTAAGGAAGAACTTCCTCTAAAGTCGTGCCGATAACTTCTCATATACAGTATAGTATTTACAATAGTGCCCAATCACTAGAACTTTTTTGGTTATAATGAACCAAGATATATATTTAATAGTTAGCTAGCCTTGTGACAATCTCTCGTGGATATGTTACGTATATACTGTCTCCGTTGAGAATATTATCTAGA